TATTAAGTAATACAAAAAAAATCTAAATTGAAAGGTAAGCACGGTTAACATGAAACCCAGCACATCGGAAGCCCGGCCTCATTTGTCAGAAGTTTCGTACCCTAATTAGAAGCTAAGCATAACCAAATAACCAAGCAGAGATTCTTAAAGAAACCAACCTACTTATTTTGAAGCCGAGTAACTAATCGGAAGCCGACAACTCAATCTCTTCCACCACGGAATTTTGTAGCAGAGTATTTTTACTGAAATTAGAGTAGGTCTAACTGAAATTGACACAGTATTCATACTTACAGTCATCTCTTTTTCCACCATTGGATTTCTGTAGTTCAAATCCGGCTCATTTTCCGAAAACGTGTGCAGGTACCATTGATTGCGTGCGGACATGTACGTCCACGCAGAACCTCCGTACATACTGATCTATAGACGTAATTAAGAACTCGTTAATTTCAATAATATTAACCATATTAAAATATTCATCATATATTTGTATGTACACCTTCGGGACCTGCAATTGAAGTAGTCTCTTGGTTTGGTCTCTAATTAGCTTTCTGTTAAAATATTGAAGATGGTTCTTAAAAAAAAGTGGTCTTGAATTAAAGGGGTCTCGGGAATTAGAAGGGTCTCGAATTAAGGATGCACTGTATAATAATATAGATAACATCAATAGTAGCCTAAACAATTATCCATAACGTCGTGAAATTTTATAGCCAACAACAATGTCCATAATGAGTCCATTTATTTTGACTTTCTACCCAAATTAAACAAGGCATTAAAAACAAGAGCAAATTTTCCATTTTTGTATTGGTATGTTGAGTTACCCAATTATTCGGCGGTTCTCCATTGTCTCCATCTGCCCAGATATAGTAATCACTAAATGGCGAGTCTTTACTGAGCCGACTCTCCATAAACCATTCGTGTTGATCACTTGAATGATTCGGCACCAGCTCTAGAATAAGATGCATATCTGTAATCAAGAAACAAGTTCGGTCAATTTGGGAATATGTGTATCATTAGTCAATTGTGACGTCATTAGTTTTCCTTTCTGAAGTCAGACTTGCGAAATACAAACTCTTTTCTGCCTAAAATTAAACATCGATGTAAGTCCGTGATTGCGATTTAGCGCCCCTCAACTGATCATCGAGCCCCCCGGCCCCACTTTACCTTCGCCCCATTAGCCCCATCACCTCCCCCCATCAGCCACA